TCGATTATTGATAATCCTCGTAAAAAGTTTGCAAATACATGCAGATCGGGCGGTAATTCTTCATATTTTCCTCGACACGCTTTTTGGTACACGCTTTTGATTTTCGACTCCTTCCAGCTGCTAATCTTTCAGCCAGCTGCAAACTGTATCTAATGGCGTGAGTCTTCCAAAGTTCGTGCCTCTTGGGTCTGATCATTTCGGTGTTAATGCCATCACTTCCGGGAGCCTTTCCATTTTTCGTTTGAAGAGGTGCATGTCTTATCTCGCTGGCGAGTGCTGGAGGGATCTGCTGCTTGGTGGCGTGAACCGCAGGTACTGTTATGTCGGTACGTGATGCAAGCAGATTTATGTAGAATTTCCTACAGACGTCCCCATATCTGTTCGATTTGTTATCCGACAACCGCTTCTCTCTTTCAGTGCTGGCATTATTGAGTGGCAACAGTTTTCTCTTGCTGTTCTTCAGGCTCTGCTTTTTTTGAATCGTTTTTGCCTTCTGTCGAAAATGGTAGTTTTCGAGATCCTCTTTCAGCTTGCACCTAATATGCCTGTATAGGAGAGGGGGGGGGGTACTCCGCGTTTTGTATTTTATCCCTTTTCATGTTTCTTTTTTTTAACAACATTTTTGTGGCTACAGTGGTCCCTAGAGTTTGGTTAGCACTGCAGAATTTTATCAATAATTCATTTGTGGTTTTTTTCAATATTCGCATCATGATCCAGTTGGCATTCTCGACTTGTCGTTTCATCTTCTCACTTTCTGTTTCTGTGAGCCTGTTTCGATGATTTGCCACATGCGGTTTCTTCTTTCCGAAGCCGGAATGATATGTATTCTGGCTTGCAACATGCTATGGTTGCTTTCATTTTAAAAAGTTACGGCAGAAACGTCTTTGGAGATGCGCCAAGCATCAACCAAGATATCGTCAAACTGCTTTGTTTTTGCGGTTCGGCACACTTCAGGTCCCTCTCCGTTTTGTATCTTTTTGCAGCCCAGGTATTACCAACAAATGGTTTGTTCGTTTCCGCCATTATAGCTAGCCTATCACCTCCGTCTTTCTTCTTGCCAATTCCATGTTTGCCAACATAGTTCCTTGCAGCTTCGTCCAAGCTTTGCATTGGAATCTCCCATAACGACCGTATATGGTCTTGTGAATTCAAGCTCTGCATGAAACTCTTCCACCTCATCGTAGTCATCGACCGTGGTGGAGGGGTAGACTTAGACGATTTTAAGGATTTTATTGGAATCTAGCCGGAAGAATACGCCGTTTCGTGACATGTGTAACTGACAGAACATGATTTTTGGAGACCCCACTGCCTGTTGACTATAAATCCGAATCCAGCAGCGTTCCTGTATCTCTCTCTAGTGCCTATCAAATCGTTTTTGCATCCCTCCAAGTTGCGGTATGTTCGGTCTTCCGTCGTATTTCACAGACACACGCCGAGGACGTCGCGTGATGTTCTATGAATTTCCTGGTGATGGTTCGTGCGTTCATCCCTCGACATCGACCTACAGTTGTAGGTGCATGTCGAGAGGTCCAGGCCATTCCGTGCTGGCATCCGTTTAAAACCAGAAATTTTTAGCAGCTACTCGTCCTGTAGTTGCCGATTCACTGCCGTAGACTGGGCCGAAGAACGCACAGGATATTGTGCTCCAATTTATTATCTTTCATTCTTAAATGCGTTTGTTTGTTGGCGTAGCTGCTTGACGTTTACTGCATTGCCGATGGTTAGGCTGATATTGGTTCGAACCAGTGAGGATTAGCCGGACAAATGCGGCGCTGTGCCTTTACAGTGCTTGAAGCTGTCAGGATTGTATTTCCTTGTTCGACTCTGCTTATTCCATTATCGCTCCCACACTGCGATGAGGTGTTTAGGTTGGAATTTGCAGGGGAAGAATTACTTAATTTTTGCAAAGTGCGTTTTTCCAAAGCATGCCGATGTCCGAGGAAGGCTTCTAAGGCAGAAATGATAGATTGACAATTGTGCAAAGCTTGCATGAAGCACAAAAAATAATGAGAAACACGTTGGATAGTGCAGCATTCGACAAAGGGCATGTTTGAGGTAGTGAGGTAGTAACAGGCTGTAACTAACAAACTATAAAGCCCACAAGTACTGGAAAATTTGGAATGCTACTAGATTGCTAATGAAAATAATGAAATTAACCAGTTTTAAAAGGTTGAAGCAAGACGGGGTAAGACGTTTCTTACGGCCACATGTGTAATTTGGTCGTAGTGTAGACCAACAAAGGAAAACATTTGTTAGGAAAATGAATAACGGGTTGATGATATGGGAATCAGAAAGTCTTGATAGCTTTAACTGTAGCTTGGGGGT